ACTTCTCAGTGTATTCTCTGTCTCTCTAATGGTTAGGTTGAATGTTGGTCTTGGGTGCAGGGGTTATGCTGTGCAGCTGCAGCATTTCTGGGGGGTAGTGTGGCCAGGGCCCAAGGAAGCTACTCAGGGATTAGTCGGGCGTGGAACGTTCTCTGGTGGCTGAAGGACCCCAGGCATAAGGAGGTAGAGATGTGTGTCTGACAGCCTGGTGGGACTGTCAGCTGCACTGTACCCCAGAGTGCCCTCCCCAGAACTGGCAGTTTCATCTGCTAATCAGAAGCAGACACAAGCTGCAGGGTATGCCTCTGCCTGGGCGCCCCCTTTCTCGGAAATCCCCCAATCTGGAAACTATTAAACTCAGACTGCCTGAAATATAGCCCTTTAATATCTCAGGCTGCCCATTCTGGAGAGGGTGCAGGGTGTTGCTCTGAATTCTTGGGGTGTATTATAAAAGAAAATAATTGGGGACCCTAGGCCTTGTGCAGCTCCCTGGGCCATTGCATTGTCTTACAGGATTGGTGAGGCACTTGTAGGGACCGGCCCCTCCCCATCATTTGAATGTCCTACCCCCTCCTTCCATTAAACGCTCCCATGTTGGGGGCTGGAGGAAGGTGGGAAGGGGTGAACATTTTGTGTTGATGATATTTTGAGTTGGGCCATCAAAAGTCGCAGACACCGGAGTGGTGTTCCCAGTAGCTGAAGCACCCTTCCCTCTTTCCCGCTTAAGACACATCCTTTCCAATTCCAGAATCCATTGTTTCCTTGGTCCTTTTGAAAGGTGCTTTGCCTGTAGATTTCTCGCTTTTCTCGCCGCCTCACTCCTCCCTTTGGCCATTTTGCTGTTCTGTGACCCTGGCCTCAGTTCCGCACCCATTGGGGAACAAGGCACCCATCTGCCCGGGGCCTGACCGCGGAGACTCAGGCTTCTCTCCCAGCCCTGAGCTTCGCGGCCTTTCCCGGCTTCCACCCGCCCCTGTTCCAAGGCCCTTTCGCCTCCCCTCGGCCGTCAGCGGGGCCTGCTTCCTGCAGCCTGCCCTGCCGGCCTGAATGCGGGCAGCAAGGAGGGCGCAGGGCTCGAGGGCCCTGAGGAGAGCGCGGGACCCAGAGTAGGCCCACCCGCCCCGGCCCACTGTTCAGTACCAGCTCAGCCGCCTGCAGGTCAGGATTGGATTCAATTTTTATTTATTATAATTTGTGAGTTAAAACCACCACGACACAACACACATCTGGGGAAAGAAACGAAAGCTGGGGGAAAGGGGCTAGCAAACGCCCTCCTGCCCTACTCTTCCCCTCCCACCTCTCCTCTGCTCCTTTGTCAGAATCACAAAACCCTAAAGGTTGTTCCACTTGGAAAGGCCGGGGATAGGTACATTTCCGCAGCACCGAAATGCCACTTTTATGGCGCTGTTTGTCTCCCTGCGCTGGATTCTGAATGGGGCCGAACAAAACAGCAGCGCGGAGCTGGCTAGACGTCTGGGCTTAATTGTTTTATGGTTTAAATAAGGTGGACACTCTTTCCTTTGAAATCAGATTATAGGAATGTTTTGTCTATGGCCCACGGAGAACAGGACCTCACTGGCTGGGAGGGAGAGGTGGAGAGAGCGCGCGTGAGAGAGGGATGGGCTGCAAACCAGGGGGCCAACAGCCGGGAGAAGTCAGAGTCCCACCCCAAAGTCCAGCGGGCAGCGGCGGAATAGGCGGTGCGGGACCAGCAGCAGGGTAAGAAGAGCCAGGAGCTTAGGGTGCAGCCTTGGGCAGGTGGTTGCGGGAGCTTCAGAGCGTGCGTCGGCGTGCGCGGAGGTGTTCCCAGCCCAGAAATGCGCCTGAAGAGGGGAGGAGGAAGGTTCGCGGCAGTTCCTTTGCATGGTGTCTCTTAATGCGGGAAGAGAAGGTTTCAAAAGGAGAGAATAGTGTGAGACCTTTGACAGGTTTAAAACAAAGGAAAAGCGGTCCCGGGGGACTCCCTTGCAGGGACCCTCCTCCCCCTCCCCCATTTGGAAACTCCTTCCTGCCACTTTTCACCTTAGGGCCAAGCCTGAGACCTGCTTGCTCTCTCCCTCGGCTTTTTTCCCAGCTGGACTGCATTGGAGAAAATGAACGCGAGGTGGCGCTGTTGTTCAATATTAGAGGCGGCGGCGGTGCCCCTGGCCGGCCTGGCCGCGCTGACATTTGAGGCCCAGCTCCTGGGAGCAGTGGCGACAAGGCCCCGCGCCCCGGTCCAGCCCGGCCCTACTGGCTGAGCAAATCAATCCTCTCACCTGCGAGGTGTAAATAAATCGCGAGCGGTGGCGGGAGATGGGCCCTGGCTCTGACAGCAGGTTCGCGAGGGAGGCGAGGGAGGGCGGGTGTCGAAAATAATCGCTTTGCGGAGGAGATAAGAACGAAGCAGGCAGCGCGTAATTAACACAAAAAGGCAGAATGACCCAGACAAACGAACATAAATCCGTGATACCTAGAAAGGCGGTGCAGGCCTCGAGGCGAGGGACAGAGACTCCCCAGCGAGGATGGCTGCTTGTGGTTCTTTATTTCCTGGCTCCCGAAGGGAAATCAACCAGTTACGTGTAAAAGAAAAAAACAAACAAACACAATCAAATGAAAGAAAGGAAGAAAAGGCGAGGGACCCCCCCAAAAGGGGAAACCAAGTCCGGCCAGGGTTTTCAGGACTGGTGGGCTCTCGGAGCCGGCAGCGGTGGTGGTGGTGGTGGTGGCGGCACACTCAGGACAGTCGCATTCCAAGACACAAAGACCCGGAAGAATAGCTGTGTGGCAGGGATTTCGCTGGACCATAAACTGTAGAGATATCCCCTCCACCCTCTAAAAGATAAGGTGCAGGCTCCAGAACGGACCCGGCCTGCTGAGCCTCCTCTTCCCAGGCAGGGAGGAGAAAGTATTTATGACAGTCGGGGTGATCAGATGCTGGGAGCCCAGAGTCCATCCGGATCCGCTCAGGACTGCAGAGCAGCTCAGAGAAGGCAGGGCTGCAACCAAGGCTGGAGCGTGCTCTCCCCTGTCGTGTCCTCCACTATCCTGGGCCCTAGGGAGACATGAAGCCCTGGCACAGCCTTCCTCTGACCCTCCCCTCCTGCTGCTCCGGGGTCCATGATCTGGGCTTCACAGAGTCTGGGCAGCCCCGAACTCAGATGGGGGTGGGTTTCTCTTAATTCAGAGGATAGAGGAAGCATCTCTTGCTTGGGCATCAGTGAATCTCCTTGGAGAATGTGGCTGAGGGTGGCCATTTCCCCAGAAATTATTTAGATAATAGAGGGGTGGGGTGGGGAGGCTCGTTCTCTCAACACCATCCTCCCCTGCACAGCCATGCCTTCCTCCATACCCAGAGCTGGCTTCCAGATGGGGAAGAAAAAGATCTGGTTTCCTTCTGCCTCCTTCCTCATCCAGGATGTGGAAGCCTCAGGATGTGGACGGAAAATAGGTAGCAAATTTGTTCATGATGCAAAGAGCTAAAGCTGCGCGTGTATTTGTTAGGCATTGTTTTCCTACGTGCCTGGGTGTGCATGTGTGTGCACAGTATCTGTGAAGTGACGGGGGTGCTTCAAGGCATGATAGTTTAGTGAGCTTGCATTTGATGTTTTTCAGGGTGGAAGGTAGCATATACAGTATCTGTATATCCCCAGTGTACCTCAGTGTTGTCCTGTGTGTAACAACCTCACACACTGTAGGGGGGGGGCCAGAAAAATCATTCTTCCTCTTCTTCATTCGTATGCACACAGCACACATATCTACAGCTCTCTCACTTTCTCCCTTTTCTCTCTGTCTGTGTTCAGCCCACATAACTGCAGGCACATATGGCCAGAGAAGGGTGCTGATGAACTAAGGTTCTTTTATTCATTAGAATTAACTTGCATGTACCCTGTCTTGGGGGTGGGGGAAACCGCCCAGAGAAAGTGTGGGTAAATATTTAAAGAGTGTCTGTTGACAGTTCTCATCCACATCCTGGCCTGGGCAGCCTGCCTGGGGAAGTGGGGGGTGAGGTGAAGCCAAGGGATGTCCAGGGCGGGCTGGCATTTCTTATGATGGGGTCAGGGTATGTGGGGTCAGGGTATGTGGGGTTAGGGTATGTGGGGTTAGGGTATGTGGGGTCAGGGTATGTGGGGACAAGTGAGAGGCCTGCTCCAGCCTCCTCCAACCTCGATACAAGTAGCCTCCTGAGAAGAAACATCCTGAACCAACCCAGCCAGAAGCCAGAGATCCACCAGCTGCCCTCTCCTCTGTCCCCACAAGCAGCTTTGCGCTCAGAACCCCCAGCCAAGCTCCTGGCCATTGCCTGGGCTTCCTGCCTCAGGCAGGAGCTGGTGTCTGAAGGGGCAGTGCAGCCGGGCTGGGTGTATGCAGGGACCCCACCTCTTCTGTACCCACAGCGGCAGCCAGAGAGCCTTGAGGGCCGGGGAAGACAGGGCAGCCTCCCACCCAGGGGAGGGGCAAGAGGCATGGCGCTGTCTGATGCCTGGAGTGTTTGGGGATAGGATGTGCTTGTTCCTCTTCAAAGTCTCCAGACTTAAGGACCCCATAGGATTCCGCCTCTTGGTTCAGGGAACTGCTCTCCCTTGCTGGCGTCCGTCCCCTGGGGGCCTTATACCTGTTGAGGTAACCTGAGTTGACCTGCTGGCTCAGGTATCTCTCTCAGAGAGGAAGGGAAAGAGAAGAGGGGGGAGAGGCACCTTCAGATCTGACTGCGCACCTTGGAAAAACTGGCCCCAGCCATTAGCTTGGGCTGGCTCCCCCCCCACCACCACCACACACACACACATATACACC